AATTAATTTATCTTACGTTTATATTTATGATCAAAATTAAAATTAAATACGTACCTCATTTAACTCTTTAGAACTGAAGTTTTTAGAATTGTTAAGTTTCTTGAGAGCAACAGTCTTATTTCTATGTTTATTCCATTTAATCATAGTTGCTTTATAAATTTTACTAAATCCTCCTTCGGCAATAAATTCCAAGTCTTTGAATTTATCATATGGAATAAATTCCATTTTTCCTCCATTATTAGCACGATTAGTTTGTGTAAATCTTACAAAATCATCAATGACTTTATTACCGCTTGATATGAGTGTTGTTTTTGCTTTATAGCATAGATGACAAATCTGATAAATTTCATTAAACTTTTGTCTTTTTTGATTGCATCCATTACATTTCTTATACTGCAATTTAGACGTAGGTTGAGTTTGTTGACTTAAACGTGTTTCATTTGTAATTAAATAGTCAATTTTTAGTTTATAGCCATTTGGTTGTTCCATGTTAATAAATAAATTTTATTAAAGAAAAACTTGTATTAGAACTTCTATAAGAATTTTATTTTAAACGTCTTTTTCGGATTATGAATCCACCATTGTGTTAAAACTAAATTTGGTATAGTATGGTAGATCAGAAATTCCATTATTGATATTCACTTTGGTGTAACATTTGCTTTTTTATCATTTAAAATACAAAAAAACGACATCAATAACCAGATTCAACATTAGTAAATCCACTAGCTGGTAGAACTTGTGAATTTCTCAAAAAAAGAAAATAATTATATAAATAAGCAAAATGACATCCTGCGGATTACTTGGATGAACTTTTTGAATATTTGGAAGATAAACATTTATCACTTATCCTGGAGCGATGGACTGCCGAAAAAAATCTCTCAGAATTCAACTGAGATTTAAACATTCAAATTAATTCTTATTTTCTCTATCGATTTTCTCAAATCTGTTATAATTTACAATTCAACTTCAACTTCGCATGGATTTACTGATCTCAAAATTTATTATTGTAGATATTTCAAGCCTAATCCCCATCAATCACAAGTTTTTCTAATAGCTAGAGCTTTTGCGGAAATGGACGTCCCATTAAGGCCATTAAGGGTGTAAAAAATATTAGTAAATCAAATATCGAGAGTTTTATTTGTGCAGTAAATAAGTAAAACGCCTACTGTAATTATAGAGAATTTTCTAAATTAACAAAAAGTATTTATTTCGCCCAATTTATAATTATTTAACAAATTGACGCATCTTAATATTTAAAATATTATTTACTATCGGACACTAATTGTTTTATTAATAATTAATTAATCAATTTCAAAATACTTTTACCCTCCAAAAAGGAACTTGAAACTCTCTTTTTACTATATAATCAAGACCTGAAGTTTTATCCATAAAAAATTCAATATTATATACATAAGACCCTAACTATATTTACAAGACGTTACCCCTCTCATGATGAACAAAACATGAATACTAGAGAATAATGGAACACCTTGAAGAAATTTTATCGGACATTAAATTTGACAATTGTGAGTTTGTGTCCAAATTTGGTCATTATGTCTATCTTTACTTTGAAAGAAATTTTTAAATGGTTGGCGGCGATTTGAAAGGATGAAGTTCGACATGACAAAGATTTTTAAGCGAGAGAATTATTGAGACTATTGCAATTTATTCTCCAAAAATTTTTATAATTTAATTTAAAATTAGGTTATAATTATAAATTCTATTCAGGACTAAAGTCGGCAGAATTGGAATCCTTCAAAAGTTGGGCAAATAGTATACCAAATCGAAATGCGAACAATTAAGGAATTTTAAATTAGGTATTTTATATCATACCCCAGGATATTTTAAGCAGTGATATACGAAAATGATTTTTTAATGTTGCAAAATACAAAATATTATTAATATCATGAATGAATTAAATATATATAATTTACAAAGTTGATTCACTCATTTGCCAATTTATACTAAATGGTATGTATCATCCAATCAAAACGTTTATCTAAGTGAGAATGTGCAAATTACACAATCAAAGTATATTTTTTTTTTTACATCTGCGACATAACAAAAAAATATAGTCGGGGAAAATATTGTAAAAATTTGGCCTTGTTGATTTGCGAAACGGAAAATCGTTGTTTCAAATAATTTGTGAACAAAAGAATTAAATTAATATTGCGTAATTTAAGTAGATAAAAAAGTTATTTCTCTAATGAAAAACTACGTAGTAAATTATTAGAGGTGAGTATGTCTGATAAAATATAAATAAAAAATTTATATTGTTTAATATTTTATTTTATTGTTTTAAAATATAATGAATATATTAAGTAAATTTTTCGTTTTTGTGAAATGTCACATTAGCTCTGAAAAAGAAACGATAAAAAGAGTGACTATCACGTGAATTTTTCGACCAATATATATATTATTTTTTTAAAAAAAAAACTATTGCAAATTGTTATATCATCAATGAAATGACAAAAATTCTAATATAATTCGTTTTGTTGGGAGTTGCTATCTATTCTTCTGATCTGCACCTTAAGTATGATTTCGCAACTCAAACTCATTTTTCTGCAACGTCATTAAATCAAAATCACATCAAAATTTCAAAATTATTTTTAGAATACTGCTCGATACACGAAATATGAATCGGGATCGAAATAATAAACAAGATCAAAGATTAACGAGGAAATTATATAATAAATAATTAAACGTCAGAAATCATGAAGATGTGCTTTAAATGTAACAATTGGTACGTGCCCGGCTACATAAATGACATTTCACTTTTTGATAAAGTTAGCTGCACAGGTTCATGTAAATACTAACGTTATTAATATTGAAACGATCATCACAATAATAATAACCAAAAAATTTTTGATCGACCCCAGAACTCACTTTTGCTTAGATAGATTAATATCCTTACCTGGTTGGCGTAACATAGATTTTGTTTTCGTTTCTATCGGGATATATAACATTTCCAAAATATTTACCCATTGTTATAAATAGAAATCATTTTGTATACGTTTGGTGATGAATGAAGCTGATTCGATCGACAACTTGCTAGGCGAGAATTAGTAAACACGAAATAAATAATAAAGTAAACATCGTTGGACTATGAAGTGTCACATGAATAATCCGCTTAGATCAAAAAAAAAAAATGTTGATTTCATGACGACGCAAGTAAAAGAAAATTAATGAGAATTCCATTATTGGAAACCGCTTTTAAACCAATGAAAAAAAAATTGCAAGCAAAGCACGTTAATTTACCATTCATTAGAGTATATAAACCTTTCATTTCAACCTTTTATCGCTTCTTAACTTTTGCTCTGAAAGTAAATATATAGAAAAAAAAAGAATTAATTAAGAAAATGAAATCAACTTTTCTTGTGCTTGGTCTGTTCGCTACGGTAGCCTTGTCTTCTTACCAAGACAAGGACCATAATGAGGATTACCACAATAAAAACGTTAAATCATATGATTACAATGATAATCCTTGGGTTTCCAATGATAAATACATTCCCTATGGCGATCAAAAAGATGATCATGATGGAAAGAAGGAAACACATTATAAACGATTTAAACGTTCAAGACGCTCAAAACGTTCTCCTGTTCCGACCGATGAAGAAGAAAAGGACGAAAACGATGACTACAAAAAAGAAAATAAACAATACGATGATGATAAAAAGGACGAAAACGATGACTACAAAAAAGAAAATAAACAATACGATTCGACCGATGATGATAAAAAGGACGAAAACGATGATTACAACAAAGAAAATAAACAATACGATCCGTATTATAATCCTAACCTTAAATCATACGACCCTTATGATAATCCTTGGGTTCCTGATGATTATTACAATTCCGATGATAATAAATCTGATGGGCATTATAAACGCGCTCAGTGATCATTACAAGAAAAGTCATATTTCAATTCGAGTATTAATTTAATTTTGGGGAAGCATTGTTGAACGTTCAAAAAAAATCTTTTTTGCTTCAAGAAAATTAATTGAATGTTTAAGAATAATCATCAAATTTTGAAATTTTTTGGTTTAAACCATTTTCTTTAGTCAACTGATATTGTTTAAGGGATCAAAATCATTATTAAATTATCAGACTAATTATTTTAAAAAATTTGTTAATACAAATAGAAGTTCGCACTAAACTTACCTAATTTTTGTTTTTAGTACAAAGCCTGATAATTTTTTTAATAAAGTAATTTGATCAATAATTTTATGTTTTAATTTGGAAACTGAACAATTTAATATTTTTTTTTTAACTTAATGTTTTATCCAACTAGTGAAATTTTTTTTTCCTAATTTCTTTGTTTTTAATTAAATCAAAAGTGGGCTTAAATGGTTATGACTATTCATTTATAATAAAGCTTTAATCATTTTAATTTAAGCAGCATGTCAAGCCGACCAATTACTTTAACCACATCCGCGACTTTTCGCGACCTACCTATTTGGGACGTTGCCTTTACAAGGTATTAATTTTCTTATAACAATGATTTGTTATGATTTAGCACAGGTACCAAATAAATGTCATTTATAACAGAAAAAAAAAATAAAAACTTGAATATCACCTATTATGATCACGTGAATCATTATGGTCAACCCTCTTTTTTTTTAGATATTTGAAATACAAATTTGGTAAATATATTCATTAAGAATTTCCTCTTGTGGAAGGGTTAGGCTACTATGACATTTCTCTTTTTTTTTTGAAAAGTTTATTTTGAATATCAGAAACGTAAAGCTAGCCTTTTTCTGATTATAATCTAAAAGAGTGAAAAGAAGGAAGAATCACTGTTGTGAAAATGCGGATTTAACGGTAATTTGCGTTGACAATATTCAAGAATTGAAAATTGAAGCCTTAGAAGAATGGTTAGAAATGTCATTTGATCTCACTATAAAATCCATTAATTAAGTGTAAGGACTTTTGAAATTGCTATTTCAAATTTGACAACTATTACTTAATTGATTACTATGTTCCAACCAGTTCAAAACTTTAGCTCGTTTTCAAAGACAGAGAATTAATGGATAGAATTCTGGAGATTCAGTAATCATCGATTTAGATGTTAGTATTTTTTTAAATAAAGGTCATTGTTTTATGTTCTTTTCTCATCTGTTAATTATTGATTTTAGAAATACTTACTCAAAAAGGCGCAAAATTGTTCAAATCCTAGATCAAGGTATAAAAAATAGCATCTGCTTTATCTACCACTCACAAGGCACATTCTTTCAAGAAATTCGGTTGATTTATCTGGAGTTGCAGCACAAACAAAAATCATAATTACCATTCAAACATCAAATCTTTATCATTCTGTGATGAAGTTTTTCTTTCTTGCAAAGCATCAAATGATCAACGATTCTACGAACCGTTCTATCTCATTAGACTTATTTCTTAAAATATGATTTACAAGACAAAAAAAAAGAAAAGGTCGAAAATGTTAACGGGCTGACTACAATAACTATCAAGTTAAAAAGTTAAAGAACATACCAATACAATTTGATTATTTATAGTTACGAAAAATAATGGTCATGTGTTCAGGGATTGTAAAGAAATTATCTTAAGATTTTTGTAGACATCGTAATTATTTCCTTAATACTTACTACATTGCTTTTACAATATGTATAATACTTAGCGAGACGGGTGAGTTACAATCAATACAATTCAGCGCTACAAGTGAATGAAAAAGTGAGTTGGTTTTAAGATTTTGATCATTTTGAGAATCGTATTCATTAAATCATGTTGAAAACGAAAGTTATTGCGTACTAGAAAAGTTTTTAATCCACTGATTAAATCATCAAATCGTTTTTTATTCTTTACTGAAAAATTTTCAGAAAGAATGAGCAACTCGATATTATTCACGGTAGAACATCCCTTATTGTAAAATTATGAGATCAATTTCAACTCTTAGAGATTTAATTAAATAACTTAAACACTAAAAGCAATTTAATGATTTCTTCTCAATCGTTACAACCAAGGATATTACGTTTCAAATCCTATGTGAATAGTTTGAAAGATCAGGACTTTAAAGAAAATGCTTTATAATTCAACCAGTATTATTTAATGATGTTAAATGATTATTGTATAATGCGAATTAAAAGATCATTGATTTATTCATTAAAGCTAGATTGTATTAATATTACCGATTTCATAAAAGAGAAAGATAATAAAATTATTAATATAATATTAAAGCGACGTAAGAAATAACAATATACAAATATAATAAAATCAAACATAAGCATAGTTAAGAACTACAGTTAAAAATGACCTCATATAATATCATATTCTTTCAAAGTGTTCAATAGAATCCCGCCAAAGTATTAGTTTGAAAGAACCGAAATCCTCATTCATAAGCTTGAACAATCCTCCGTTCAATCAAAATTCTTGATCCATAATAAAAGATATTGCTCCTCGTAAGGAAATGTTGATATTTCTAACGTATTGCAATCATTTCTGGCTGAAAAGCAAGCAACATCTTCGGTAGTATTAGATGAATTTGACTCTTCACTATCCTGAAAGGATAAATAAATGTCGAAAATATCATCAATTTCAGTTGTATCTTTATCAGTTGAAGCCGTATGGCAAGTGAGTTTGGAATTTATGGTATTATTGCCCATAATAGTACCCTTTCCTTTGCGATTTTTATGAAATTTTTTGCGTTTAAGGGATCTAAATGTCTTCTTGATGATTTTCTTCAACATATTTTGCGGCTTATGTTGAGTAGGCCAGAATTGATCACCTTCTAATGGTTTCAAGTCAATTGGGAGAGAACATACATCTGAAACAAATTCAGGAATAAATCTTTTATTGAATATCGTATAATTAGGATCAAAAGTAGTTGTTTGCATATTTGATAAATTTAATTGAGAAGTATGTTATTAAAACGTTAACTTTTTAAAGAATACGACAGAAATAAAATAAACAAAATAAATATGTTTTAGTTATATATAAAGAAAATTTAAGGTATCTACCCTGAATTTACGGGGTCAATTTTTGCTAACTCGGGCCAAATTTATAAATGCTGATCTAATCTACTTCAAACGATATGGGATTTACTTCTTTTAGAAGGAACAGCAGAATCTAATACTCGACACCAACAAAGAAACTTTGAAATGTCCGACGTAACCATCTATACAACCACGTGAGAAATAAAGTTAGCTTTAACTTGCATAGCATAGCTATTGCAGAGACTAAGAAATAAATACAACTCTTGAGTATAATCGTTCTCGCAATGACTCTTTGCCATTTAAAATTGATTATGTAGAATCACAAAGAAAAAAATTTATAAAACCACTCTCTCAATTAAACGTATTTGTTCATTCTTTTGCGGAGTAGTCTAATAAAAATATCTATCTGAATATGAATATTACTTTTCGAATATACGAAAATTAAAAGTTGGTCACATCTTGAAACAAGTTAGCTTTTTCTAATTTTTAAGTTGTAAAGTTCATGTCAATATTTTTATTTGCTTTTAAATGAATAATTTGACCATGATCAGTGTTACGTTGAAACTTCGACTTAATACCGTCATAAGTCTTGTTGACACACGTACAGAATCATACTTTGCAATTATAACTCTGCAATCATAAAGTTAGAATAAATATTATAAGAAAATTAAATGCTAATTGTTATGAATATGTACTGTATTTCGCCATAAAAACAAAAAGCACTATATAGAATAATTCTGATACGTCTCTTGCCGGAACTTGGTGTAACTGAACTTTCCCAACTTTTGAAGATTGACTTCCTCTTCTGATATTCGCTAAAAATAAAATTTTAAAATAAGTAATTTATGTCTACATTAGTTAGAGATATTAAAGGTACAGTCACAAACGGGACCGACCAATATCGGTCTGTCAAAGACTTATGATTTGACTGAACACTTAACTGTTGTAATTTATTTTAAAAATATAAAGCTAAAAGCTTTTAAAAAATACGAGAAAATTACATAGATCAAGTATTACAAATGCTTAATCAGAAATGTTTAAAGGAATGCTTTATTCTTTTTCTAAATTATAAATTTCATATCAAATTATTTCCACAAATTCTTGTAGTGTACCGTGTTTGTGAATTCAACGATAAAATACAATGAAAAAAATATATATACAGTTTTGTATAGGTTCGAAAATTTGATATTTATAAGCAATATATAAATTAATAATATAAACCAATTATTTTTTTATTTTACATTTTTTGTGAAAAAAAATTTCATTTAAAACCTTTTTTTCTGACGTTCAAAGTAAACCTTTGCAAAGCAGTTACAAATACTATTTATAGTTTGTAAGTGATTTACCAAAATATTAATTTTATTATGAGTGGTTAAACTTGACTGAAGAAGAAAGTTGAATCATAACTAACATACAGTGTGTGTTTCACGTGAAGTTTAGTTTTTATTCTCAATAATTAATTTTATATCTTAGCTAAAATTCTAAGATACAAAAAGGATATGCTTTGTTCATTTGTCCAAACTTTTGGAGAGAAAATTGCTCTTATGAAGTTACTAAAATTATCAGAAATCTAGAGATGTTTTATAATACAATTACTTATCGGCATGTTTGTATTTTTTTATAATCAATGAATTTTTAAAATAAACGATTTATAATATATCTTTGACATACAAATAATTGTCTCGAAATTAAAAAATAAAACTATTTTGAATATTTGTTAAAAGATGAGAAATTACAATGAAAGAAAATTGGTCTATATTAAAATCTTTATATTTGTAGATATAAAATTATAACATAAGTTAATAATAATTTCAAAATAATTATAATAATAATAATTGAAACTGGAATCAAATTATAATTAGATGTCAAATCCAAGCTCTTTGGAAACGTAATCTATTTATACATTATAAATAAAAAGTTCACATTTGTTATTTTTATATATAAATCATAAAATATATAAAAAGGTATTTACCATTGGATTTAACTTTCTTTGAAATTAGACCATCATCAATCGGATTAACGTCAAATCTTCTTTTACCTTTAAATATATAATTATTAGTAACAGTTTTTTCAAAAAAATAAAAAAATATCAAAGCAAATTTACCAAGCTCTAAAGTTATGCTTCGACTTTTTAAACTTCTTGTAGACTCGGCAGATCTTATCATTGCGCTTAGAGATCTACTTTTATAGATGGCACCGTGTGTATTTTCTATAGGCCCAATATCTGGTGAATTAACAGATATAGTTGGACTTCCATTATACTGTTTTGTATATTCTGAAATATGAATACTCTCAATTCTTGATAGGATATCAGCAGCAGTTGGTCTTCTTTTTGGATTAGAATGCCAACATTCTTGCATTATTTCAACGTAACCTTCAGGAGCATTTGTAACGATCGGAGGGCGAAGTCCATCACAAACATCAATAATAAGATCTACATCATGATCTCGATTCCAAAAAGGCCTTCTTCCTGTCAACCATTCCCA